AGGAAACCAACCACGGATCAAAATTAAAGAAACCAAACTGGAAGCAACTCGGGAAACCTGAAACATCAATCAGCGGGAATAAACACGGCATTTTTGAAAAAGAAAGGTCAGATTCCTTACCGTTCGCAGGAAGACATCATCCACATCCATATTCGACCGGCCGAGTGTCTCTGGGCTAAAACCAGCAGGAACCATATCTGGTCCAGTTATAAATATTGTATTCACTACTCCACCATTTCCGCTTACAAATGGTTGGTGCTCATCGTGCCGCCATTCCCCATCAACAAAAAACTTATACTGCATGTGAATAAAATAAACTAAATGTAACATTAGTGGCTTCTTAAGCATCTCATATTGTAATAATTAAAATCTTGTTAGTACATCCAACTGCCAAAATATATGAATCTCTATACACACAGTAGCCTTTATTAACAGAAATGATTTAGCTATCACAAACAACATAAAGAACCCAAAAGTTTCTTTTACAAGAGTTTTTGTTATGTGGATGGTGATGTAAAAAGCAAAAATTTGATCAATTAGCAAGGAAATTCGCAATTTTCAGCCAAAATGGTACAACTATGACAGAGGTAAATAAGATTCTCATGCATATTGCATAAGTTAAGCAGCCAGAGACTAAATGAAGCAGTATCAAGGACATGGCAAAATCACAGCAGGGATTAATTCACAAAGAATTTATCACGAAACAGGTCCAGTACAAGATTATGAACCTGATGATATCCTGGCGTCAAGTTGCAAATGACTTGAAAAACAGTCGGGCAGCCCTCAAGCGGTGACATTGGCACATGTTCAGTCCACCTGTTCACATGCCCATATCAGAAATCAGTCCATGGACTGCAAAAAAACCCGACAGATACTATACAGAGCACATACTCTACTGGATAAACCACAAGCAATCCTTAAATTGCTTTACTGGAATATATAAAGTAACAAACCTAGTTCAAGCTCAGTCATCTCACCTGGTGAAAGATCCGCTTAGGAAGACCCTTCGACCTCCATAAGGCCAGACGAAGCGGGTGGGAGTAAGAAGCTGCCCTGAGGCAGCGCTGTTTCCACGGCTGCTATCCAATGTAGAACCAAACATCCCCTCCCAGTGTTTATAAAGTTACAATCCACAGAAACTAATTCCTAAAAATCTTCTCAATCGATTCTAAATGCGTAAAAATGTCTCTGACTCTTGAGCAGAAGAAACAAAACCCGGTGAAACTTGCAACTTCAACGCTTACACATGCAGAGAGTCCGAATTCAATAACGCTACCATAAATTCCAGCCACCAGTAACGGAAACCGTAAAAGCCCAAATCACGATCTACAACGAAATTACTCAACTCTTCCCCCAACCTAGGTAGAAGAAATTTCACCAACACGAAACCTTGTAAAGGAGCCCTAAAAACTCAAAGCACGAACGATCTGGCTATAAAAGCAAAGGTCAACTGATGACAATACACAACACCTGAAACCCTATTCCGAGGAAAAGTTGCCAGAGGAATTCGCGGCTTCTGATCTTTAAATTGGGGAGGAGGAAGAAGAGTAGAGAGACGTGGATGATGAATTGATCGCAATTGATAGAAGGAAGGAGCAAGAATTAGGGATTTGAAAAGATGGAGAGAACCCTAAATAGAGAGAGTGGAGATGGCATTGTTTGGATCTGGGGAAGGAATGATGTTAATGGTCTTTCAAGGTGAAGAATCTGAGGGCGAAGAAGCGCTGCGTAATGAAAATGTTGTTTTTAATCCTATGGAGATATGATTTTTTTTTTTTTTTTTTTATTACTCTATACATTTTTTCTATTTTCCGATAACATTTTTATATAATTTTTTACATTTTACGAACTGATTATTCTTCTCATTTTTATATTATTAATAAATATCTTATGAATTATGCAAATAGTTCCTATTCTTTTTCCGTAAATTAGAATTCTAATATATAGTTTAGTCAACTATAATAAATCATTTCCTATATCGTATCACATTAATTTTATGAATAAATTAGACGAGGATCCAAAAATATTTCCATTCTCAAATTGAATCCAGTATTTTCTTTTATTTGATATTTAAAAAAATTAACCCTGTCTTTTCAGATGTTAAAAAAAACAAACTAACTTTCATTTTCTTAAAGAAAGTTGGGAATTATACTCATTTTTCTAATTCTTATTCATATCATTTAATTATATATATATTTCTTGTGTTTTGAAGCAAAGTAAAAAAAAACAAAAAACAAGCCATATGTTTTTTAGTAGTTTTTCTTTAATATTTCTTTTGTCAACTCGTAGTATGTTAAATTAAAGAGAGTGAATCATTACATTTACATCCCACACCATTTATTATCGGGTTAAACTCCATTTACATTATCCATGAAATTACATTGTCTCGTACATATATTCTCCGTAGACATGTAATATAGGGAGAAAATCGTGTCATGCATTTCAAGTTGACATTATTTGATGGAGAAGAGACTTCATGTTTGAACCATATATGTATCCATGAAATTACATTGTCTCGTAGATTTAGTCTTGGAAGACATGTAAATTAGGGCTAAATCCAACACTCGGCCACACATGACTTTGAAGGAAAAAGAGTTCGATTCTAAGTTTTTATAAAACTCTGTAAATAATCCAAGTGTTCTATGTTTTATTTGTTGTAGTGAGTCTTATACCTTTTAAAGTTGCTGGATTTTAACTTTCTCATAGACATGACTTTTTACAAGCGTATATTTTCTCGCTCGTTCTCTAATGTTGTTTGTCTCACTCTTTCTTCAAAACGCATATAAGTCGCTTCTGTCTCTCTTTTCTATATTATTCCTCTATCTGGTGACAACAGTTAATTTTTCAAGACATTTGTGAAAAATGGTCATTTTGGTTTGTTGGTTGTCATTGGGCAGCATTCACCGTCACTGGCCAATTGGATTATATATTCCTTAAACGGTCACAAATCACAACTTTCATCTCAAAATCTTGATGGCGATTGTGCATTGAAAAACTGGTTTAAAAAGCTTTTTCTCATATATATTGGCTCTTTTCTAACTTTGGGAAAGTCTTTATTTGGTTCCATATTGTTGGAACATTTGTATGCGTCTACATCTAGCCTTAAACATCCTTAACTCCTTCGTCGTACGTAATTCTGGTTGTGGTGATCTTTGGCTCTTTGGAAAGCTAATTCAAAGAGTTTTCTTTTTCTTTCAGTTATAGCTTTTGCATCAGATTTTGAGGAGAAAATCTTTAGCCACATTTTTCTCCTGGTGTAAACAATTCCAATTACATCAAATTAATATGCTCATTCTTTTCCTTTCGGGTAAAAAAGTCAAAATCTGAGTTTATCGTCATTGATGGTCTCTTGTAGCCAATATCTGATGGTTCTCTTTTTCTCCTTCCAATAGTCGTCCATAACTCCTTGTCCCTAAGTATAATTTCGATGTTTTCTTTTTCTTTTAGAGAACGTTCTCGTCATCAGAAGTATACTATCATCGAAGTTAGGTTTGGAAGATTACAGTTTTGTAAAATTCTTTAAGTAATTTGTGTACCAATTAATCTTGCACATTCTTTATCTTGTTTCTCGTGATCAGTTAAACGAAAACCTAATCTGAAATATATATGTTCTTGCATAATCTACCAAGCTTTGAAATTTCATTAGAAATGACTTGTTCTCGATAAGTCACTCTACTACAATTCGTTAATAACTCCCAGAGAAAAATAAGATGGTATCAAATAGCTCTTTTCCTTTTACCTGAAGAACTTTTGACATGCGTGCATCTCTTTTTTCATGGGAATCAAGTTCAGCAACTTGCGTAAAATCATCATAAAGCTATTATATTTCTTGGTCCATGCTGCAACCTTAATGGTTGTAAGTAAATTCATCATAATAAGCTATTATATTTCACATGGACCTGTCCTCTTCATCTTTCACTTTGTCCTTCGCAATGGGTACATCGGATGTGGGTTGTACTTGTTGTTACCTTAAAATATTCGCGCTCATGGTTCCCGAGGCATCGCTGCCTGCTTGTGCAGGAGCTCAATGCCGCGATTCCATGGTTTTAGCCAATGGAAACAAACATTTATCCCTAGAATCATTAAGTACATAGATGTCAGATATAACATTGTTAAGGTTAATATTAGTACATAGCAAAACATTGCGTGTTACTACATTGGTATACTAATAGTTTAAAATGTACTGTGGAATGTTACTTACTATCTTGGTATAGTTATTGATAAATAAAGATCTTGATGTTTGTGATTTCAGCTTTTGTCTCTTTGAACTAATCTCTTATATATGTTACTTGTTCAATCTTAGTTGATTCGGGCAAGAACATAAGATAGTTGAGAAGTGGTCCCAAGAAAGCTCTACATAAACTATAGGCTGCATCTTTCTTTCATGAACTGTTTCTAACTTTCTTATTTATTTGATGATATAAAACTACCCCATTTGCAGATAACCATAAAGCGAGCATGTCATAAGATATACAAATCTTGAAAACTCATATAAAATTTCGAGTTTAGTGCACCCATAAGGTTGTGTGGTCCTCATAGTCTTGGGGTTATTTTTGGAATTCTGAACCTATTACCCTCTCTATTCAAACCCTAAACACTTTTAACTCTTTAAGCTATACGATAAACAAAAAAAGCTCATCATCCCCAATATTGTTTGTTCTTAGTTCTATTGGCTGTTTTTGCAAAGAAGAAATATTGACTTTAACTTAGTTGGAATTTTTTATCTTGTGCTTAAGTTTGTAGAGACCATGATCTACTTACATGTGAAATAAAATCTTGCAAGTGTCAACTTTCTAAGCTATCTTTAATCTTTCCATTCATGTGAACTAATTACGTTCTGACTTGTTTAGAATTTCATTTTAAATGGTCAAGTCCCAATGCTCCTTTATTTTGCTTAACACTAGCCTCAGGCTCCATAATTAAGGCCATAAGGCATATGATGTAAAATATCATTGTTCAAGTACTGAAACAGATATCAATAGTAAGCTATAAGTACCTTGCTTCTGCTATCTTCTCCACTTCCATATCCATGGGATCCTCCACTGGTTCAAACCAACCAATATTCTAAGTCTAAATTATGTATACACCTTATTTGCTTGCAAGAAGAAATATATTAGCTTTATATATATGTAGAAAATCAAAATTAGAAAGCAATTACAAACATGTACATTGTATTAACGATTCAAAACATTAACATTTATTGAATCCTTTTGGTCTCTCTACAGATCTTTCTTGTTTTCATATTAAATGATTCAGAACACAGATATCTAGTTCAACGGGCTGAGGAGCTGCTTCCCTTCTCAACAACTCTAATAAATTTTGTCGATTGGTTGTGTACATCACTTCTAGTGTTGGGTTCTTTCTCATTCCCACTATCATTGCTACCTTTGTTGTGCTCAGTTCTTTCTCGCTCGGCTTCACGGTACTTGTGAAGATGCCTACCCACGGCGTCAGCATAGTTATCGAGGCCGAGAGTGCTGAGAGCCCACCAGATGTCGTCTCCATTCACCGTCTTTCGATTCTCCCTGTGGCACTTGTCCGAGGCTTCGCATGTAACAAAGCTTATGAACTCTGTTGCACACTCTTGAACTGTTTGTTTTGCTTCTTTTGAGATCTTTGCATTTGATGGTAGGATTTGCTTCATAAGTCTCCCTACATTGGCTATTGGTAACAATCTATCTTCGTCTGTCATTTTTCTCTTCTTGTTTTAGTGATACTATCAGCTCTCGCTTCTCTTATAATCTTTTTATACAGGTTATCCAATATAACCCTCTCTCTATATATAGATGTATATATAGGTGTATATGTGTATGATGAGTAGATGTGCTACTTGAACCTACCTCTTAATTTATTACATACTATATATAATATGTCTAAGATTCTGTCTCTGTATGTATGTGAATTAAGCATATATAAGCATGATATATTATGTTGTGGATGTAGTTCATTATTTGTATCACTAGTTTACTTTTCTCTAATGAATTACTCATGTTTCTGATCTTTATTTTGCAACCAAGTCCAAAATATTCTTCTATCTCTTGTTCTAATCGTGAATTTTCATTGTGGGTATTAATTCGCAGTTTCCATTTAGAGGTACTTATTTAAATCCAAATTAATGTTTTATATATTCCCAAGAGATTGTAATAAAATGAAACAATATACATAGTAGAAAATTGTTTATACGTTTCGAATCGGTGAAATATTTGTGATCGTGGTTTAGCTTGATCCATATGCATCACCAATCAGTCTATACATACGGATTTCTACGTACGTATATGACATGTTAATACTAAATTAATATCTAAAATTAGATCTTAACTCTAATTTTGATTAGAGCCTAGCTACTTTCGTAAAGGAAATTATTCTTGATGGAGCAATGGTTGGCTTATGGAATGTCAAAACCTTAATTGTATTAGAAAATATGAAATTCGAGGCACGCAATCCGCATAATCTAGTACGGATCATATCCCACTCGCATCCATTTGACTTTTGTTTTTAATATGTTTTAAAAACAAATACTTGTTAGCATACTGCGCAAAAATTCACCAAATATATATAAGTCATTGGTTTATATATTATGAGCATGTGCATCTTAGATATGGGTTCAAACCCTCAGCGTCTGGGTTATTCGAACAGTTTAAAGCCGCATGAGACATTATGAATATAATTTTGGTCATGTTCGTTTGCTCATTTGCCTGATCGATGCATCTAGCAGCGGCGAAATGATATTGGTTTGAGTACAATTTTACGGATCAGTTGGATGGAAAATCGAGATGTGTTTTTGAAGTTTATATCTTGTAGATTGAATTATCAAAATATCATGATTTTATAACTTTTTGAGGAAAACAATAAATCTTTCGTTACGAAAAAAAAAAAAAAAAAATCTAAGGAGATTTGTGAACACACATTTTTGTTCGAGTTCCTGCTATTTTTTTTTTTTTTTTGAAGTTCTTATTAGAGCATTTCCTTTACATTCTGCACTTTATTCATGGTCTAGAGAGGCTTAACAATTATTATAATCTTTTTAGAGACATATATTTAATTTACGTAAGAACTTAGGATATACGTACTTAGAACAAAACAAAAAAATTAGAATACGTCATTTAAAACCGGATTATGCGATTTATAAAGTTGTTCTACATACTTCGAAACTGGGTTGACTTAACCATGGGGAAAACGGCCATTTTCAACCCCAACTATTTGGGGGCGGGTTTTTCCAACCCAAACTAAGACCCCCCGTCAATTTCTACCGAAACTCAAAACTAATTCAAATTCAAAACCTAAACTAATGAAAATTAGCCGATTTCAACACGACAGAAGACGGTGTTAGTTCGGGATTTAACGGCTGCTGAGTCAGCGATATCGTGGCATTGACGTGGCGGGAAAACGGCCATTTTCAACCCCAACTATTTGGAGGCGGGTTTTTCCAACCCAAACTAAGACCCCCCGTCAATTTCTACCCAAACTCAAAACTAATTTAAATTCAAAACCCAAGCTGCTGTTATATTCATGTAATCTTGTAGTTGGGTCGTGAGAGAAAAACTATTTATTTACCATGTGATGGATCTTGGGGTTGTATGATTTCTAAAACAATATGGTATTGTCTCCATTTGTGTCGAGTTGAAATTTTAATGAATGGCAGTGTGGTACCATAGCTTTAGAGTTCATGAATTGTTATGCAGATTGAGATTTTTGTGAATTGTAGTGATGATGATTCAGGTCACGAGACTATAAATACAATTGATTTCAGACAAGTTTCCAGATAGAATGTATGTACAATGATTCCTCTGCAGGAAGAAAGACAAAATCTTTAGACGGACACATCAGGAACAAATTTTGCTTTTTCTTGCTATTGCTATATTTCTTTCAGATTCCGTTTACAGTACCTGTGAATTCATAAAATCGACGAACATTTTTCTGTTTCGAGAGAAAATGAAGAACCCTAATTTTAAATTTTCCTCAAAATTAAAACGACGTCGTTTCGTCGTTTGAAGGGGAAAAAAATAAAACGTCGTCGTTTTCATTGACCAGAAGCCACGTCAGTGAAAACGACGTTTTATTTTTTCTCGCCCCCAAATAGTTTGGGTTGGAAAAACCCGCCCCCAAATAGTTGGGGTTGAAAATGGCCGTTTTCCCTCCACGTCAATGCCACGATATCGCTGACTCAGCAGCCGTTAAATCCCGAACTAACACCGTCTTCTGTCGTGTTGAAATCGGCTAATTTTCATTAGTTTAGGTTTTGAATTTGAATTAGTTTTGAGTTTGGGTAGAAATTGACGGAGGGCCTTAGTTTGGGTTGGAAAAACCTGTCCCCAAATAGTTTGGGTTGAAAATGGCCGTTTTCCCACTTAACCATGCACAACCAATTAAAAAAAAGTGTCTGTAAGTTAGATCGTTCATCGCTTTGTGAAAAGCATTTCACTTTTTCCCTTTAATTTATCAATTGAAGGATTTTAATTGGAAAGTTGTTAACGGTCTCATATTTTTAATTTTTTGCTTGGTAATTATATTGTATGCATGCTTTAAATATGATAAATAATTCGCTAATGATGTCTTTTGTAACCCATTTGAAATATTATATTATTCTCATTTCATTAATATGTGTATTGGTGGTGTATTATTCTCTTTTCCAAGTCAGAACCCAAACTGAAAACAATTTTACGTTTTGCATGCCTTGAATTATGTTGTAACAATAAAAAAAGAACAGAAATGAACATAAAATATGATTATTTTTTATTTGTTTATTTCTTACTAAAATTTGTTTATTTTTTACTAAAATTTATTTAGCAAATAGTTTAATACGGTTTTACAAACTTTAACTATGAAATAAACTACAAAAAATTTCTTTGTGCGGACTACTACTTTCATTTGACCGGACATGTATGTTTTCAGCCTTTCAAGTAATGAGGACCATGTACAAGATCAAAAAGATGAAGACACACGACATGGTTTTATAGCCCTATGGGCTTTCTGTTTTCTGATATTAAGTTTCGTTCACTTTTCGTCTATGGGTCTTTCTATATTTAGCCCAATATGAACTTTGAAGCCACAAAATCCATCGACCTTTTTTTTTTTTACTTCGGCCAAAGGTGAACTACTTGTTTTATTTATCTAACACTTTTTTGAATTATTTTGGCAAAAGAAAACTATATGTATAAAATTACAGCACTTCAAATCAAATAAACCAAACTAAACTGATTGATATTTAATCTATATAGTTTATTATAAATAGTGAGAAAATTGATGGTTTTTTTACCTATGTGATGGTTTTACTTTTACTTTACCTATGTAATTTAAACATGACGTTGATTTTTTTTCGTTTTTTAATTATGAATTTATATTTCTACGATACGAGTGTTCATCATAAAATACAATAAGGTCATCATAAGTTTTATTCGGTACACTTTTATCATTTAATAATATAGTAATTAAATAAAAATTCAAATTATTTAATTTAACTAAAATTGGAATATTTCCATTTAGCAAAACTTCCCTAAAATAGTTTGAAACGTTTATGTATACGGTTCATACAATATATATTTAAAATACTATAAATCCTTTATAACCTTTTTTTTTCTACATCATATTATGTTAATATTGATTGAAATTTTAGCATGAAACGATATATCATCCATTGCCGTAAAAACTAAAAAGGAAAAAAAAAACGATAAATAAACCTAGGAGTAGCACACCGAATGGAGTAATGGAGAACACAAAACACGTCCACAACTTTAGAGTAATTTAACTTTGAACACTTAAAACTGAAAACAATAAAAACACTCAAATAAACCCTTAAAAAATAGCCAATGAAAATCTCTAAAGTGCATATAAAAAAAAATCTTTATATTCGACTCTCTCATATTTTGCTCTCCCTATGTGCCTCATTCTCCTCTCGAAGACTTCGTGTTGAAAGAGCGACCAGTGCTGTTTCTCTCTATCCACAAACACGAACAATTCTTCGTTTTGTTTGTTCTTGTAGCCAACTCCAGATTCTCACAGTGTCACAATCTCCAACATTGCGAAGTTGAGACATCTCATAAACTAACTCAGGTTATCAAATCTCTCTCCTTATGCCGTGTTTGGCAATTCACGTTTTCGGGTCTGCTTTCCTCTTTCTGGGGTTTCTTGTGTCGCAACGCTACTTCTTTATGCCTAGAAATCGAGGAAACTAACGATCGGAGATGCTTTTGAGATCAAGTACCCACCTTTTGTTTTAGAATTTGTGTTTCCATGTTTTTGTCTCTTGCGTAAAGATTTCGACTTTTCCTGCTTTCCTTGCATACCATTGTCATATGTTCGTCTCTTGGGTTAATCCTTTACGAGATCATTGAGAATTCCATACAACTTGTTCATGTTTGGGATCGATGCTTACGGGTTTTGCTTTGATCAGGTCTGATTATGAATCTGGGTCAGTGGTTCTTAGAAAATTGGCTCTGAAAACACTAGATTTTATCTTTGTCCTCGTCTTCGTGCTTTTGTGGGTTCTGCTTTAATTCCCGTGTCTGTGTTTGTTCAATTGATCATGTCTTCTTGGAATGAATCGAATGTATTTGGTATCCCTCAACAACTTTTTTCACGATCTGAGGTAGTTGAATCTTCAGTTTGATCTTAAATATCTGAGCTTTATTACTTTTCCCCGTCGTGTTGCTCTGGACAATGTGTGTATTTGAGCTCCTTGCGGTTTTGTTTGTATCTTTCATAGTTAATTTCAATGTTCATACTCA